ACAACAAGGGGGTTGGAGTCTTCCCTCCAAGGGACCCCCACAATCCCCCACGCCACCCCACAACCCCCTGCTCAGCCTGTGTGGAGTGTCAAAGCTAAAATGCCCTAATCCCGTTGGCTTGTTTAACTCCTTCCCCCCAAGCTGTCCACCGCCTGAAAACAAGCCTGACCTGAAGGGGTGAATCCCCCTACCAAATCACCCCTCCTGCTTTCTCCCCACACACCACCCCACCCCACCCCACACCCCACCTCCCACCTCATGTGCCCAAACTCATGTGGTTGCCTGGAGATTTGCACGTTCAACTTTCTCCCCACTCTCTAGGGCCAGAAGCAGCCAGTCAAGGCTGGTGTAGGGTGGGTTGGGAGTAGGGAGGTCGGTGAGGAAGGGAGGAGGAGACAAGGTGGCGCTCCTGGTGGTGGGGGTCCTCCACTGTTTTAAAACAAGCGCCTTTCTGTGAGATTATAGTGTGAGCTGTGGGTTATAAATGATGCATTTTGCTCACAAGGCCCTGATAATAGCGGTTTGGGTAAGGGGGGGGTGGGTTCATCGCTCTCTTATCAAAGCTCTGTGACATTTCTCCTTCAGCTGTAAAATTTCATATCACATATCTGCTTTAAAGATGTGGCACCTTTTGTTGAACCGATACAGTGCATTCCATTTCACCCCATATGCCTCTCTCATGGTATATTAATTTATAGCCCATTTGCCGGCTCTATAACACGGCCTATCAGTGGAGATGACTGGGATTCAGTAGGACATCTGTGAATTGCCACGCACAGGTTATTGAACTTTGAACAGCAGTCATTTATTTGCTTTGATTCAAAGGTACTGCTTGATATCAAGAGGGATCGTCTGCTGTGTGAAGCTCAAGCATATTTCCCCACTTGTCTCTATTGCGTCGCTCTTTGTTTCCCTTTAACATTCGTCCTTCCTGTTAATATACTCATGATAAAAGGTGAAGTAAACCAGAAGCTGAGCCAGTAATCAGACTCATTTCTTTTAGTGCCGTAGGCAATTTATTTTCCTTGAAGTAGGTTTTTTGAACTAGTTAGAGAAGTTAAATTCGTGTTGAAAATAGCTCGAGCAGATCCATTGCTTTAACTAATGCTAATCTGCAGCAGCGAGTTGATGATGTCATTTGTCATCTCTGACCATTAGCAGAGACCTAATTCTGGGCCGGAAATTATATTAAGAAAATTCAGACTTACATTTCATGTGCATTAATAGAAACATTCGCAGTGAAATGTGAATCTATCATTGCATTTCAAAGAATTAAGGGAAAGAATATTTGAGTTGCAGTCCTAAATCAAGTCATACTTGTTTGATCATTATAGAGTTTCATTTAACAGTGAGTTTAATTTACAAAACAGTGAATGAATCGTATCCTACCGTCTATTCAAAAGTAAACCCCTAAAAGGTCCCATATTTTACACTTTTCTGGTGTTTTATTTGAAATGTTGATATACATAACATATATTTATGGTTTTAAGTACCAAAAATTAAGTACCAAAATCTCTGTGTAGTTTTACATCTCCTCTTTCAGGCTTCCCTCTGGAGCTCTAGTAACAACAAGCCGGTGAGCCAATCAGAAGAGAGGAGGATCTGAGCCTCCCTTTTGATTGGCTGACTCTGAGTGATCGAATAAGAATATAGCAGATTTCAGGTAAAACACTCAGAGAAACCAAATCCTGCAAGGTTGGAAGGTGGGTCCAGGTGGGCGGGGCTTGTGTCATGGCTGAGATCAGTGACTGCTTTGTTGTGACATCACAAAGTTACAGAAGTCCTGGTGGCTGGTTTTAAGGCTCAGTTTCTGAATACAGGCTGTGTGCATTTCACTGTGGACTGAGCGCTTTGATACTTTCACAGTATTAATATAGAACCTAGACCTGCTTTATAATCAAATAAGACATGGAAATCTCACTTTTTTTGTTTTGTTTGTTTCCAAAGATAGCAAATATGATAAACCAAAAAACCAAAGGTCTGGGGAAATGTATATAAATTAAATTTTTCTACTGGTGCAGCCATACAAAACATGCACTCTTGGGTTTGGATATATCAATCAGTGAAAACATCATGCAGTTTAAATGAATAGCTGGAACAAGCTGATACAGAATAGACGTGATAATGTCAGACAGAGTGGAATAAGATGATTTATCCAACCTTAATGGGAAATAAAAGGGACAATTTCATGGCAAGGAGACTGCTGAAAAGTGTTTCATTATATCAAATAATATTTAAAAGTACAAAAGTGGTAGTTCGCTTCTTTCAGGGTCTCTGTCAATAGTCCACACCCATTTTTTCTTTAAATCATACCAGGCTGGCACCCTGCCACTGAAAAACTCATTAACATTCAGTCGTATGCCACTGAACGGAGAGATGAGGTTCCCTGTTCCTCCGCACCATAACAGAAAAGAAAGACAGGACACACATACACACATTAAAAAAAAAACAAACAGATGCCAGCATGGAGCATCTTGGGTGCTATCTGAGGAGGATCTCTCCACACAAAGGGACATTCATTGGTCTGCCAAGTATCTGTGGAGTGCAGGAACAGACCCTAGAGTCTAGCGACAGATGATGATCTTATCGAGGGAGGGGTGGGGGGTGGGGGGTAGGTGGTGGTGATTGAGGGGGGTGTGAAAGGGTGAAGGTGGCGGAGAGAGGGGTTGGTTGGGATTTAGAGGAGGGGGTACAGCTCTTGAGCCACATCATGAGCTCATGTTTTGCCAAGTGTGTGGCATTTGAGAACTGGACGATGAGGAACGTTGAGGGGAGAACAGGTGCTGGGTTTGTTAAATCTCATCATTGGCCATCATGAGCTTTCCACTTGGTCCTGTTTGTCATTTGCAGTGTGACAGGTTAAACACAATGACTTCTGTATTTGTTCTGAATTCATTTTTGATGACTGTAGGTAACATGAGTTGGGATTTTGGGAACTTGTAAGGAATTGTCACTATGACAAGACTTGATGCAGGCATAATTACAAAAATTGTCAGTAGCCTGGTTGATAACAGAACACATCTGTCTGTGTATTTTTAGTTAGGAAACCTGTAAATGTTCATAGAGAACATACAGACAGCCCATGAAGGGAACTCATTATTCATCCACGGGTGTTTTTGTGGAGATCTTCCACTAGTATCAGCAACAGATGTGACAAGCCATCTGTGAGCCAAGGTCCTCAGGCAACATTTGGTGTGGGATGCACACAACTGGCACCTAAACATGGTGGACCACAAACCGCACAAATTGAATCGTACCCCCCTCTTCCCCCCTTCTCGCACCTACACTACCCGTTACCCCCTTTTTACTCCGAGCATCCCACCCAAAAAAAGAAAGAAATGGGGAAAGGAATCAAAATCGTTGGCCGGGGACGGCTGTAGCTGTGTGTCAAGCGGGGCTAAACAGGAACTTGCATCCAAGCGGTTAAAGGCCGTGGGTCTTATCTGAGGACAAACAGAATGCATCAAGCGGTGGCTGTTGCTCTCAGTGATGACGACCAGCTGTGCACCAATGTTTAATTATTTCTCTGTAATGAGCTTACCCACCTTCCACTGCAGCACCGGGAAGACAGCATGCAACAGCAGGAACATGGGAGGTGGAGAGAGGACGCAGACTAAAGGGAAAGAATAAGCTGTCCAGATTATCTTATTTGTGGGTCTATTCCAAAATCATGCTCTAACATATAGTAAATGTTTTTTGCTGGTGTGTCACAGCATATATAACAAAGATGTGTTATTATGGGTGACATTTAGCTTTTTTATTGTTACCGGAGTGACCACCACTGATGAGTATATGATCAGCAAAGGTGTCATTTGTAGCGGATAATAACACTAGCCTGATTTTTAGATCATGTTTATGCATGGGCAGGAGAACATAAGCACACATTTCCATACCAGCACAACAGACGGACAACAGCAGCGTGCTGCAGATACACGGCTGATATTTACAGAGTGGAACGGGGCTTGAATAGGTCATTATACCACATCTGCAGTGATCGCAGAAAAGTTCAGTGATCACTTGAGCCCATTCAGCTTGAACCGAATGCCCTGAATACCCATTAGCCACATGTGTGAACAAATAGGTTAAAAGACACAATGTTTACAACTCATGTTAGAGTTGAAGACTAAGAATACATTATGATTATTAGCCTGGCTGCATAATATATAGATGGTAGTTTGGTTGGAGTGCATCAGAAATATGATAATGTTGTGTAGCTGACCCAGATCTCTGACCTGACAAACTCAATGATCAGACCTGATAAGAATCTGTTTTTTTGTGTCCAGAAAGTTTATAAAACTAGCTGGAACTTGTTACTTAAAGAGGTCTGAATCGTCACAATAACTCCAGCAAGACTTCTCAGGTCAAGGCAACCAGTCAGACATGTACGGCTGAGAGCTCCATATTTTCCCTTTGCAACACACACTCACACATAAACAGGGCCGCATCCTTCTCTGTAAACTATGTCATGGCCTGCTGTGGAGTTTTATCATAACTATTTGATTAATCACCATCCCGAAAAAGTACATTGAATCTATGGGATATGACAGCAGGGGTTGTCAAAGAGGTGAGCACCGGTACTGCTAGCTGTGCTATCCGGTTTCACTGTTAATTAGCCGGAGCTCTGCTCAGCACTAACAAGGGCCCAGCCTTCCTGGAACAACAGAAATAAGCCTGCCACCAGCGGCTCTCGCCAGCCAGCAAGCCTGCACTGTCTCACAGACATTATCTCCACACAAGACACCTTTCAAGTCAGGTTAGCGCGCCACGTGTCTGAGGAACAACATCAGATGGATGCTCACTTGATTTGCTTATCCATTTTGAAACTGTTTGGCTTTAACCTTCACTGGTGACTGCAGGGCTCTGAGACAATAATGTCACCGCACATGTAGGCTTGAGGGGGGGGGGAGGACAATGAAAGAACATTCCTGTGATTCGATGTGGAACTTGCGTGTTACATGGAGCACTATGGCTGACTGCTTTGGGTTCTGGTGTGTTTTTAGGAGAGCTGGATGCCTTCCTTAAAGATGGCGAGCGTCGGATCCACAGCCGGCAGCAGCTCCCTGTGGGGACGACATGGGGACCCTTCGAGGGGAAGATTGAGATGAGCACTGACAGCACTGCACTGGTATGTCTTTGTTTTGGCCAACTGTATAATTTTGCAGATTTAATATTCACCAACCAACCATAATTATGCAATAAAATACAGACTAAAACAGGAATGTGACAGGCTAAAAACACAGTGGTTAAAAACAAATGGAAAATAAAAACGACCGAGCTGAAGTAACCAAAATCAGGGTAAGCTATATGATATAAGAGTGATTTGAGAAGTGATTTAATAGACTCAGCTGAGCAAATCTTGTTTGGCACATCGTTCAGATTCTTGAGGCCTTAATAGAAAGAATCAGTCACCCCTGGTCTGTAGCCTTGAGTGTGGGATGGCTGAGAGGCCACTGTTCAGGGATCTCGGGTTACATGAAGCTTCATATGGACTAAACAGCTCAGTGATGTAGCTGCCTGCCTGGCTATGCAATGCTTCAAACATTAGCAATGAAATCTCAAAATCACTTTACACGTAGTGTAAGGAAGAACATGGGATCCCATCTCTTCTAGTTAAAAGCCTTGTGGCCAAGATCTTGTACAATCCGCACAAAGCTGGTGAAGCCATCATTGCAATAATCGAGAAGTGACAAAACGAAGCTACGTATGACAGTTGCAGTGTCTTTAAAACTGAGCATTGAACAAATATTTGGAAGTTGAAAAGCAAAACTGAGCTGGAGTCGATTTAAACTCCACAACATGAATCCTCGATTTGGCAGTAAAGCGCAAATACATGATTTATTAACCATCATTTAGCTTTCAGTTACAACCTAACTTATAACCCTTTTATAAAGTATGTCTCACTAAAATCCAATATATGTTGTTATTAGCGAGTTCCATAAACCTCAGGTTCATTAAAACCTGAAGGGAAATGACTTTATATGATCAGACCTTGCCTTTAGCAGCCATGGCAACATGATTACTAGTCCTCCATCTGAAGCCCATATTAACGTTTATTCCTGTGACATTCAAACCTATTGAGGTGACTCTTCCGGGATCCAGCTGGCCCGCAACAAAAGCCTTTGAAGTGCATCTATTTTAACCATTTCATCTGCATATTTTATGACAAAACACTTTAATTGGTGGATTTTGAGCTCAGCGCAGGCTTCAATTGAATGAAGTCACAGTCCATTATTTTTGATGTTACCCTGCACACAGCCGCTTCATATCGCTTGTTTCAAAGATCCCAGCAGAGGCTGGTGTTGACCTGCTGCTCTGGTGGAGTGACAAGTCCTCCAAGGTTTTGATATTCATTTCTGCATTTGGATTAATTAAGAAATTCCTATTAAATCTGTAACCAGATTCACATTCATCCTGTTAAGAAACATAAGGACAAGCCCATGAGGACTTTGGACTCAGAGGCCCTCCCCCCATTTTCCCAGATTCCTTAAACACAAAACTTTATTAAATCATTTCAGAGCAGTTTCAACTGTTTTCTAAGCTCCCCTCTTGGTTTTGAAGTCATCAGTGGCTTTAAATAACTCAGGCCGTATTATAGCCATGAAATATGGCTTCTCTCAGGGTAAAGCCAGTTATCCTTGGGCGGAAAAGTGATTTGACAGAGCAACACCTCAAGTTGCCTTCCAATGTAACACACTCCATATATTTCTCCAGCAATCTCTGCATGATTTTCCCTGAAAGGAATCCAAAACCAACCTTCAACTGTCCCTCAAATGACCCTCAGACTTACCAAGTGATGTCATATGAAACATCTTCTCTGAATTGTTTGTTGCTTGAGTGTTTTCAGTAGATAGAAACTTTACAAATTTATCTCACTACCTGCTGAAGTAGATGCATAAACTGCTTGTTGCTCTTGGCGAGAGTGATAAGTTCTTAACTAACTGCCCTCTCAGGAATTCATTGCTACTTTCCAGATCCTCCCCAGGTCTTCTTTTTTTTTTTCTTCTTTTTTTTCTTTTCTTTTTTTTTAAGTGAGCAGGTGCTGGTCATCACCTGTAATAGGCTGTGGAGGGGTTACAGAATATGCCAAACCTCCCTTGCAATTAAAAGCGGAGGAAGAAGCTCTGGCATATTGCCTTTAAGGATCTCATGTGTGTCTATTCTCATGGGGGCCCTTTCAATGCTTTGCTGCTTGCCCTCCTCCTCTCCTAAGTTTCATCTCTCAAATGGGATACTGGCTGTTAGCAGCTTCTCACTATCTCTCATTAAAGGCTAGGTCAACCCAACTGGCGTGTTGTTTTACAGAGCCTCCTTTTCTTTGGGTTCAGTGTACCTTTTTACTTTGTTCAGTCAATTCTTGTAGTTTTGCACATCATGAGGGAATCATCCCATTTACAGTAGAGTAGATTTATTTCTCTCTTTTTTTGGTGTTGTTTAATCAAACCTCTAGTCATCGAGCTGTTTTCTTGTTAAACATGCAGCCGTTGGCAACATCCCTAATATGGTGCGGCATTTATCTCAGTTATTTCAGTGGGAGGCTTGTTGTTGGGAGAGTTGTGCAAAACTTCACACACACACACATCAAGACAGGAGCAAACTCTGATGCCTCACCTGGAGAGGGAAAAGTTGACATAACAAATGTGAGCGTGAGGAAATGGAGGAGGGAGAAAGGAGGGGAGAAAAAAAAAAACTGGCTATAGTTTTGATGCATGTCAGGGCGGCCAGAGCTGCAGAGCGGGGTTAGGAGTCGGCAGAAAGCGTTTGAGATAGAAATAAAGGCTCATTGCTTCATGGGTCTCTACCTCAGCTCGGAGGCTCTCTCAGTCATTCTCATGAAGTGTGACCTCCACAGACTATTAAATCTCCTTTTACTCGCTTAGATTTTTTTTTTTTTTTTTGAAACCATAGAGGTGAATGAATTACCCGAAGACACCCAGGTATACGGTGGGAGTGACACCTCTCTCATGCTTGAAACACACGACCCGCTGGTGATATATTGAAATGCCCTCTCTGAAATCAAACATATTTTATCCCTTCATCCCGACACGTCATTTAAGATGTGACTTTTTTTTAGAGGTCAAGCTATTTTTTTTGTCAAGCTGCTACGTACAGTGCACAGGTCTGTTTCTCAATCCCTGGCATCACGCCCGGAGAGGGGCTAAAGTGTTAAGGCTCCTAAAAGAGACTTACAGTAAATAATGAAAATACAGTGAATCTGAGCAGCTTCTGCATTAAAGTGGACAGGTGCAGGACTTTGGCACATTCAGAGCCATTTAGGAGGAAAGCATGTTAGGCCGGGCTGGTGTCTGGGGAGTAGTTCTGTGAAGGTAAGGATGAGAGGAGAGGAGGTAAGGGGAGGGCGGTTACTGGTCCCCAGAGGCAGCAAACGGGAGCTGGCCTATAGCTGCATGTGCTGTGGCGTGGGAGCCGAGGCGGGTTTGGCTGCTGGTGGACGACTGGATCTCAGTAGCGGAGCGGAGTGATGGATGATGCTGAGAAAAGAACAGTGAGTGGAGCGTTACATGCAGTTGTCCAGGCAGTCCTGGAAAGAGAGGTATGAAGCTTTAAAAAAGAAAGAATGAAAAGAGAGCGTGCCGGGGAGAGAGAGAGAGAGAGAGAGAGAGAGAGAGAGAGAGAGAGAGAGAGAGAGAGAGAGAGAGAGGAAGCAGGAAAAAACAGAGTGGAAAAAGCATGACAGGAAATCTGGGCATCTGCAGGACAGAGATAGGGTCACATCTCGACCGTTTATCAAAGAGGAAAGCAGATTTCACAGCTGATGGGTCGGCCGTGGCAGGTCTGTAGACCCCAGGGGCTCAGCTTGGCATGAAGCACTGGAGTTATAGTTATTGCTGTTGCAGAACTGTTAACACAATCGCATTGCACTGTATTGGACCGTTCATATGGCTGGCCTTACTGTGCTGTCTTTTTATACTCTACTTAGATCACATATAGTTTTAATACATGTTTATCCCAATACAGAACTAGTTTCCACATGTAGTATTTTTTAAGAAGGTATTCAAAGGTGTTTCTTAGATAGCAAACCCAGCTTTAACCAGAGAAACAGAACAGAGAGACAGAGACCAGAGTCTGAGCTAAAAACTAAGTACTGTAATTGGCCTGGGTCAGAATACTTTGTAGCAAGTAAGGCAAAGGTGAGGAAGGCCGAACAAGAAAGTCTCAAAGCAAGTAACAGACAGGAAGACAAAAAGTAAGGGAGAGAACAAAACCTAAAACGAATAAAACACCCAGGACTTAGTATTTCGCTGTAGCTGTCAGCCACTTCCCCTGCTCTGTTCCTCTTCCTCCTCCTCCTCCTCCTCTCCTCTCTTCTCCCTGTCTGACTGATGGAGCTGCCAGAGCGCCGTCTCATCCCTCACTTCTCTCACTGATCAATCAGACCATTAGACTCCAATTACAGCCGCAGCCCCGGCGCAGGTGAGCGACGAGCACATTCAGCCGGCTGCCGACAACGCCTCTGCCCGGCTTCCTCACACTCTCCAAATTAACGCAAATTAATAGTGACACTCAGACATAAATGTCTGCAATCGGGGGGCTAAATTAACAGTCTGGGTCGAAGCTATTGAGTAGCAGGTGTCTTTAAAAGCGGTAATTACCTATGCTGGACAGAACTGGGAGGAGAAGGTGGCCCACGGTTTGCCTGGAGTAAGAGGCCTGGCCCTGGTGAGCCTGGCTTCCATTGTAGGTGTTAATAATTGATTGGGAGGCAAGCTATTAATGAGCAGCAGATTTAGAGCTCTGTTGTAAATGTGTGTTGATGAGGGTGTTGCCGCCTCTTGTACAATGCCTCACCAATGCTAATTACTGGGGCTTAGTCAAGGTGCACTGTAATGAGTCTGGATTCAATAGAATTCTGGTCTTTATGTGTTTTGAGGGCCTTTTAGTGCAAATTACACAGTAATTGAAATGCATGAGACTTGCTTAATTTCAGATTAAGATCTAGGCAGTTTTTTTTTTTTTTATCTTCTATCTTAATACACTTGTTGTATATTAGCTCATTTTGCTGTGAGCACAGGTTTATGATAAAACAAATCTAGTAGAGTAATCTGTTTTCCACACAAAGGCCCTGATACAAAAGGCAGTGATTTCAGAAACAGGTTACAAGGACAT